TACATACGTTTGCAAACAAATTGCCAAGCTCGGCGAACAGGTGCAATGGAATACTACTTATTATGATACACATATATATGACGTGTTTTACGTTGAAATCAAATAAGGAAACTGTAGCGCATTCAGCTGGCCACTTGCCTCTTCTTTCTGTTTTTGATCGGCTACATAAACGGGGAACACAATGTTTAACATCAAACGAAACAAACGCGAATGCACAAGTTACAGTTATTAGGTCATCCGGATATCGCTGGTCGGTACCGGATGCACTGAGCCAGAGCCAGGGAGTGAATAATACGACCTGTCTATGTTGACATCAGCAACCCCGAAATGGCCAACCACAAGCTGTTCCGACCGCTTCTCATTGAGCGAAATCCCGTTGAGTGAATTCGAAACAAATCCCGGGGGTATATATATATATCGCTCTGGTCGGCATGGTAACTAAATTCACACCGATTTTTTGGTCACACAAACCAAGCTGTCCACTGGCCTAGATAGAGCGAGAAGTGCTTTGATCATAGATTGAAATGAAGTGCCCTTACATCTGCTTAAAATTCATTGTATCGGTGAAGTACTCGCGGCGGAAGTTGGAATTGATCGGCACGGTGAAGATATTTGCTGCGTGTTTTTCATGTCATAAACACGTCCACCTGAGGTTTGACTTTTCGCTAGTATTTAGGCATCAGCTAAGTATTTCAAAATCGAGGTGATGAAACATGCCGAAAAATGCTAATCCACCATAATCCATTGGAGGGTGGCGAATTTTCATTGATCCTCTAAGCTGAACAATCTTATAGTAGTTTCGAGAGGTTAAGTGGATTTATGTTATGGTATATCAAACACAGTAAGACGATAATTGAAAGCCTCGTATCATTATCACCACACGTGTACTGGTGATTTTACCGTCCTGCGCACCTCTCCTAGGCCGTTTGAAATTGTCCGTGAATGGTGGCGGTAACGATCACCAATTGGCACGATCTACCGAACAATCAGTCAATCAAACATCACGATCATGTTCGCCCGAAATGAATGATCGCGCTAGTCAGATGACATAACAAATTTGGCTAGCGATGCGCATGTTTGAACAGTGCTCGCAGAGCATGTGTGTGTGCCCGATGTGAAGGCATAGGAATTGTGAACCGCTAGATTGTCAAACTGGCAATTGACTAATCCAAATTTCAAAGGTAAAATACAGTATTGCCGCTCCAATGTTGGGAAAATATCCATCAGAATGATGCACTCTCGCCCCTGCCCGTCTCCTCGGCGGCAACAGTACGGTGAGTCTGGTTGGGTGATCAACGGAAAAGACAAGGGATGCGCGTATCATTCATTCGCTGATGAAGGTTCCTTTCTTTTTCCTGCCGATCAAGCCAGAACTAATACACGGTATGGAGTCCATCTAAGTTGAAAATCGTTCCATCGTCAAAGTCGAGGCACGTTATTCTGTGCTACATGTATTTAATCTACCGGTGAAACCTGGGAGTTTGTTTTTTTGTTAGCCCTGAAGCGCTTAATGTATCATTTTTGTTCATGGAGTCTTCCTCCAATTTTTCCCTGTTTAGAGGTGTTTTGCATCACATTACACTGGATCCGACCATCTCACAAATGCAGAGAAAGTGATCTCACGAAAACCATTCACTCGGGCATTTTTGTTCTCAGTTGGTATTACGGTTGTATTGACCCACTTGGACATCCTTGTTCGTTCAAGATCATCACGAGTAAAGTGAGCCTAGGGATGTAACTTTCCGCAGTCTAACGACCTTTTTCCACTTTGTTATCATTTGCCACGTAGATATATGAACTCAGGATGATGGGCACACTAGTTTTTCAAACCGATTGATTCGTGTTATTTCCTTTCGATGCAATACATTTTTCGCGGTGAAATTTGTCATATCTCGACTGCAGCAGTCAAAATGAATACTTTTCAGGTTTGTATACCGTTTCCGGTTTACCCTCGAGTTCCCGTGTTTCATTAAATTTTAATGAACATGATTTAATTTGTATTTTCTCTGCATTTGCTTTATGCCCGTTATGACAGCTATCAATCCACAGGTATCAACCTTGTTTGCCCACAAGTTAAAGCCAAACGGTCATTTTGATCGTTTTCGATCTTGACCGTTTTCTTTGTTGTTGTTGTTGTTGTTGTTGTTGTTATTATTGTTGTTGCCAACTGAAACTGATCGATATATTCGGTCAGCATGAATCTACAAGATCATCAATCACAAAATGATTTTGGGAAACCATCAACTCGATCGGAAAAACTGTTACTATGAATTGAGTACAAAACGCTGTGTTGAGCTAAACTTTCGATCAGATCATCTTATCAGTCAGTTGATCATATTTTCTACTACCCGCATTACCGACTAGTCTTTTCACGCTCATTAGGCATTTAAATGAAGCAAGCTTCAGTCTTGCATCCTGTCGAGCACGCTGACGCCATTCAAGTCTGTGGGTAGGTGAAGCCGCGCAGTTTGCGTGAGGTATCTGAGGTATCTGACCCAACTCGATGAGCACACAAAATGTTATTCATTGTTAACTGTCACTAATACAACCAAAGCAAATCTGGTCACAGTAGCTCAGACATTGGCGACAGTTCAATCATCAAAGGTTAGCACCACAGCTAATTGCAAGGTGCTTACGGTGTACTCCGAGTGCGGCCGTTTTCATTACGCGGATGATGGGCCTATTCGAATAGCAAAATGTGTTGAGAGCCTTGGGTCGGAGTTATTCGGGGGAACTGTGGTGACCAGGCTGCGTTTTCGTCAAAGTGCAGCAACATACAACCCCGGGTCATGCCTTAACGATAGCCTGCCCGTTCCTGGCTAAACAACCACAACAGAAGTGAAAGAAACAGAAAGAAGTTGATTCGTTTAACAAAAACAAACAAACAAACAAACAATTTTTTAAAGAAAAAGCCGGGTACGCGTTGTCAGAAGACGTGCTGCTGCATAGAGAACACACGCGAATAATAAAAGATCAATCTTTTCACTAGCAACCATCGATTAGCAAGCAGATTGAACGAATAAGTAATGACCACTGTGGAGACACTAAAAATGAACTGTATCTTCAATCAATCTTCCGACAGAACTGTAAGATAATTTGACAAGAAATGAACATCAGCGCTCTCTAATATTGGATTTATTCGCTAGTTACCAAAGTGAAACAACGTTGCGTAGTTACCGTGCATTGTACTTTTTTTCGAAGCCCAATTTTAGAGAAATTAGTTAGATAAAAATTCCGGAAGATTCCGATTGTATAAGGGCTTAGTAGTTAAGTTTCAATGAGTTTTGACGGATCAAATAGTATTAAATGATAGAAATGGAGAATTTTGTTTGATCATATGAAGAACTTCGTCGAGTGAGAAAAGAAAATTAAGAGTAAATTGAAAAGTTAGAAAGCACTGTACAGATGTTTCGATCTGGTTGGCTTTCATCAGCGACAATGCGAAGCCATCAACCTAACTGGGGATCGCGAACCCGGGTCGTTCCTCACAGGCAGAACGCAAGTGTGCTACCCACTCGGCCACCCCGGGGCAGCTAGTCACACAGGTTTTCATTTTCCTTAAACATGATATAGCAAAACCTATTTGTATTTTCCGCATCTCAGCACTAGCTTGGCTGAGTGGACAGTACACTTGCATACTGCCTGTGAGGTCACATCCCCAGGGGAGGGGGTCAAATGAATTCACATTGATGCTGATGAGATCCAACCAGATCGAAACAGACGTCCGACTAGTTTTGCAGTTCATGTTTTATTTACCGTTTTTTACTTGACGATATACCCCATATGAGATAATGATAGTTATAATACAGTGGAGCTGTAGTTCTATGAGGGCACCGGATGAACTTTACTGATGTGTGGATAGACTTAGTTACAAAGTACAAGATACAAATGATAAACTAGGAAATTCATAGGATCCCAAGAGAGGAACTGTTTGAATTCGAATATCAACGACAGGGGGTCCTGGGGTTTCCGAAGAATAAATAAATTAACAACATATTACGCAGTAAGCATTTCTAACACAAAATACATGCTACCATCATAATCGGATTTGCGTTGGCATTTTCCCGCCGGAATGAGGCTTTGAAAGAAGAAGTATGCGTATGCTAACTACACAACGTTGTTTCATTTTGGTAACTAGGATGTAACATTCTTTGTGAATAAATGCAATATCAGAAAGTATTGATGTTCATTTTTGTCGAGTCATCTTACATTTCTGCCGGAAAATTGTTACAGTGTATTCTTCGCGTCCTCACAGTGGTCATTACTTGTTCGCCCAATCTGCTTGCTAACCGCGAGCTTATGAAAACACTGATACTCTCTAATGTTTTTGAATGTTCTATATGCATCAGCCTATCTTCTAACAATGCATGCCTACTCTTAACTCCGAAAAATTGTTTTTTATTTTGTCATTTTGTTCAGTTCTCCCGGTTTTTTAGTCAAGGCTAAGAGAACTGGAAAAAACGTGCTACCAAATGACCAATAAGATAATCTGAAGGAAAGCAAATTAAGTCACAGAGTTTTGTTCTCAATTCCAATTTCAAAATTAAAGCAATCCTTTCCCAAATAAAAACTAAAAGATCATCCACAAAATTGAATTGAATTAGGTCATTCCAGTTTACACATTAAGTGCTTCTTCCATCCTTGTCATAGTTGTGGTAATTGCCTTTGATGATTGAGCCGGCCAAGGCCATCAGTGCCCTATTTACCGCAAGCAGTAGTGTCTGAGGTGCAGTTTATCCTGACAGCAAACAATACTGGGGAAAGTTCAGTGGACTTGGGTGCTGCGCTCGGTGATTTGGTACAGCCTCCTTGCTTTGTGCGAGTCATATTGCACGTCTGTGTCCTTCGGTTGTACAAAACCATTCCCTGTCCCAAACAAAAGATGATCAAATCAAACCTCACATTGTGTGCTGTTCATTCAATTTCAGTCTATGAATTCTCACAAATGGGATGAGGTGGATAGACATAGTACATCGATTGTGACGCAAACCGGAACTCACTCGATTCTTCTTCTTTGCACGATCCATTACCGGTCCGGATATCAATCTTGTGAAAGTGGCCGCAGCGTTTGAAATCAACGCGGCCAGACCCAATTGGGAAGCAGATAGACCGCATTGGGCCATGATCGGATTCATATAGATAAATATTGTACTTATTACTTCCGGGGGGAGAGGTAGAGATTTTGTGAATTAGCATGAAACTATCCCAAACCAGTATCTTACCGGTAAATTGGCACAAATAACTGACTTTCACAGGAATGAGTTTTCGATTAATGTGATAGGGTGAGCCTGTGGGAGCAGGATCTTCAACTGCTTGAAGAGAAAGTGAACTGTGCAACATTGTTGCAGCACTAGTCCAGATTCCAAATGTTCTCACTCAATCCAAACTGGAACCTATATCCAGCCAGTAGTGGTTCACCGTATGACAGATCCGTACTGTTCAAACAAACTGGTCCCACAGTTGACAACAACGTACTTGTACAACGCCGCGTACATGGAAGCGACGCACGATTGGCTATTTATATACAGGTTTACTAAGGTTAGACGTTTGTATACCGAGTCCGGGTCCGATGAACAATCACACGATCTTGTGTGTGTGTCTGTGTGTGTGTGCATGTACCAGCCGGTTCATTAGTTGTCGGAATTCACGCCGCGGCTCCGCGGACAAAAATTGACACCGCCCAGTCGTGGGGTTAGAAATCCATACCTGTGACGAAAATGTGATTAGATTCTCTGATAGATCAGACAAAACAACCGATGCTGAGAAACAAGCCTTCACATTTTAGTCATTAGGAACCATCTAACAAACATTGTAAGCGTCAGGTTAAACAACAACAACAACAACAACAACAACAACAACAACAACAACAACAACAACAACAACAACAACAGTAATGTGAACTCTGCGTCCACAGACCATCTCTGTAGTGACTCCGATATACACTAATCAGGAAAAATCAACGGTTGAGATGCCAAATGTATTTCCAGTGTACTGGTCGTAAATTAACACAATATAAACCCAGGTTTTCTATGTTTTCTGCTGGGGTGAGAAACCACTAGCGTCATTCTTTGTTTCGATTCGTGAATGCTGCCTGGACAGTTTTCTAATCAACCCTGTATACACTGTCGAACATACTTTATTGTTGTTGTACTGGTAGTACTTGTGCTATTGGTAGTGTTGATAGTGACGGTAAGATTGGAACACGCGACTTCAGGACTAAGCGTGTTGATAACCCAGACCGTTTGACCAAGGGGGCTTCGTGTCTTCATTTTCCAATCTTCATGAAAGGTCCAAGAACGATTCGGAAATAATCCGAAAAATAATTTTAAATTCCTCCCGAGATGAAGTTGGCAATAGACACTCAATCACATGCTTCGTGTGCATGTTTAATTCCTGTTAAAGGCAGAATGAATATCTGGTTTCTTTTATTTTACTTCCTTTTATTGAATATGCAATGGTACAATTTTCAGGAAGGGGGAAGCGGCCAATCAAAGGGCTGCCATTCAATACACACAATGGGGAAAGTCAGGCGGTGGTGGTGGGATTCGACCACATCTCCAGGGTGATAATTTGGTGACGTTACCACCGGGCCACCACCGCCCAAGAAGAATAATTGTGGTTGTGTTATTGTTTGGCGAATATTCACTGCTGGTTCAAAGCCAAAAATGTAGTCATGTCATGTGAGTTGTGTTTTGTCGGGCTGCGCAATAGTTTTGAGCCACCGAATGTGCATGAAAGACTTCCGGTTAGGATGGTTCTTCGGTATCCTTTAGCTTTCGCCACCCTTTGCCGTCTCCAGTGGAGTTCGGCAAGACTGCCCCATATCCCCAATTTCTTTCTTGTCATAGAGGATGTTCTGCAGGATGCTTTGTCCGGTCTAGCAAACGGTGGAGTTGAACTCCTCCCAGGGAACAGAGTCCTTGAATTTGAATATGCCGATGATATCGCCTTGTTGGGTGACAACACACAGGGAGTCCAAAACGCTTTGAACCGCTTAGCGATAGGAGTATCCAGGTATGGTATGTGCTTTGCACCATCAAAGTGCAAAGTCCTGGTACAAGACTGGCAGGAGCCTGTGCCTGCACCCACCATCTGTGGTGATCAGCTAGAAGTAGTCGAGAGCGTCAAGTACCTAGGGAGCTTGATCGTAGATGGTGGTGGTGTTTAGGACGAGATCACGAATAGCGAAAGCTAGAGCGGCTGTCGCCAACCTGCGACACCTGTGGCGCCAACATGACATCCAACTATCCCTTAAGGGAAGGGTGTACACCGCCGCGGTTCATAGTGTTCTCCTTTACGGTTACAAGACCTGGCCTCTCCGCGTTGAGGGTGCTAATCGACTTTCTGTATTTGACCATCGATGTTTTCGAAGCATTGCTCGTGTCTGGTGGGAACACCGGGTGAGCAATGACGAGGTCCGTCGTTGTGTGTTGGGCGCGGATAGTCGCCCTCTAACAGAAGTAATCGCTCCACACCGCCTCCGATGGCTGGGTCACGTATTGCGTATGCCTGCCCATTGACTACCTTTCCGTGCTCTCTTTGCATATGCCGGGCAAGGCTGGAAGAAGCGGCGCGGCGGTCAGACTATGACATGGGTTAGAGTCATGAAGAAGCTGCCTCCAGCTTTGGCTTCGGTTGGTCAGACCCGGCTTCCAGGTTGGGGCCCTAGGGATGAGGATTGTCGCTGGTTAGAGACGCTGAGAAATATGGCTCAGAATAGAAAAAGTCAATGGCGCGAATGCTATTCGGTCTGTCTGTCTGTCTGTCGAAATCCCGTGCCCCGTAAAAAAACACAACAAACAACACCAAAAATTTGCAAAAGATATACGGTGAAACACACAAAAAAAATCCTGTTATGTATTTTCCTATGTTTAACTGATTCAGCCCCTTTTCACTATGTTATGTACCCCAATCCACCTATCCCGTTTTATTTTTATTGTTATTATTGTTGTTGTGTTGGCACCACGCTTGTCTTCAAGCCGGTGGTAAATATATATCCTTTAGAAAGCTTTGATGAATCTGTGTTCACCAGACTGCCATTCGAACGAAAAGCTTTTTCCAACTGGGAGTTTGTCATTTATAGAGAAAATGAAGTTTGAACTGAAAAGCTATAAAGCACTGGACAGCTCTTTCTACCTGGTTGAGTGTCATCAGCAAAACGAATCCATCGAATCAACGTGGAACTTGACCCGGGACCTCACAGGTAAAATATGTTCATGCACACTATCCAGTCGGCCACCGGGCAGCGGATCAGATCGTTTTTCATCTTCTATTTCTCTAATATAGCAGTAATCAGTCTGTGAAATTTTCAAACCGTTTCATAATCCCGAAGCCTAGTGCTGAAATGAGCGATGGGTGGTGCCATATCGTGCAAATGAAAAATGAACAACGGTCTGATCAACTACGCGGTGACCAAGTGAGGAGTATGTTTGCGTTCTACCTGTGAGGTTCCAGATTCGATCCTCAGTTGGGTCGATGGATTCACACTGCTGTTGAGACCCAACTAGGCAAAACATTTGTCCAGTACTTCCGAGCTTTTCAGCTCACGCTTCATTTACTCTATACTTGACGAAATCCGTCTTTGAAATTGAATCAACTGCAGTTTTAATCCGGGTCACACTTCTAATAAACCAGAATAAAACTTTATCTAATTTTTCGAAGAATCCTCTTGATATATGTGTTTCTTCCGCGTGAGTGAAATACGAGGTAAACAGAATTCGACTTCTCTGCTGTCTCGAGCTGCGTAAAGTCTGCTAAAACTTTGTATACTTGTGGTGCTCGTATAACGAGTACGCACGTATCATGGTACAGCTTCCAGGTAACCAATCAAGAAACGGATTTACCGACCAATCCTGTGATCTCAATTGGCACTAACCAGATTGACTGAATGCTAGAAGACAAACAAACAAAACCATATCGTTGTCGATTGGACATTGAAGAATCGATTAATGATTTTTTGTTGCTTGTAATGTATATTTACATGATTTTCTGAATAGAGTTAACTGTATTCACAGATCGTTTTGGTTCTACCTGACTTTGCGCTATTCAGTGGGTTTTCAGGCCAGTAGCCTGGCATCAGAACACCGGTATTAAGGTAAGTGTTTCGTAGTCAGGGTTAGTCCCAATCGCACAAAACTGCGTGACCTTGATAGTTGTATTGCTAACAAATTTCCAATCGAGTTCCGAATGAATACGACCGCCTTCATGAACATAGAAGAACAGCCCGGCTGCGGGCAATTTTGCTTTTAATTTGTTGATTCACGGAAGATACAACCATTTGGGGTAAGCGAGGAAAACATGACGGTATATATTGTGCATACAAACAACAAGTCATTATTGCTCTTGAAGTATCAGACCAAGGGATGTTAAATAAAATATCAAATATCAACCGTGACAAAAGGACAAGTGGTAAGAAGATGTTTTGATGGAACCATTTTAAACTGGACAAAAATCGAAAAGTAAATGTTATTGGTACAATGTGTTATGCAATAGCGGTCTACGGGTGTTCGAGCTTTTACTGCTCCAACGCGGCAGTTGATCGGAAAAAAAATGTCTGCTGCTTGGTTAAGAAGAAGAACCACGCTCAGACCAAAGATGGTAGCCTATCCACTGTAAATTATTCGTCGGTTCACACTGCATTATGCTCCGACAGAACAATGGGTAAAGTGAGACTGTCAGTATTAGATTAAGGCGATAGGGAGGACATATTTTTACCATTCTACACCATATTTGTGTGATGCAAGTTTACAAAATCGTACATGATAAACTAGAAAGCAGTTGGATATTGTCCTTTTCAATGAAGCAATCAATTACGTAATTCTGTGGAAACTTTATCCCTGTCAACAATTAGACATGCTAGATCTGGTGAAACAAAATTACGAGATGAAGAGGTACGTGCAAATAAAAATGTTTGAACCTTGATCGTGTGAATCATGTTGATTTTGAAATCTCATTGTGTAAAATTCATGATGAGTATCTCAGAGTACTTTGGCAAGAACATGTTTATAGATGTCTGTCTACAACAGAGTCTGCCAGTTTATCTTTGACGCTGCCACCACACTCAGAGATGTGTTTCAGAGGTTGCTCTACTAAGTGAGTCTTTTTTAACATACCAGATAAAATA